ATTCTAACAATAACCTGTGGTTTAGGTTCTATTAGGATAAGATATATGCTCAACATCACATGCTAGTAAGAGGGACAGTCAAGACTTAAGTGCATGGCTCCTTGTCCCCAAAGCCCATGCTTATCACCATTACACAAAGTCCTCACTGCTTCATCTACATGTTCAAAAATTAATACTCACAGAGGCAAATTAGCTTAATCAGGATCTCTCATAGAGTTAAAAGCAAAGCCTCCTGGAAATTAGGCCCCCACATTTCCTTGTGAAGGGCATTTCTTGTTTTTCTTTTTTGTGTTTTTTTATTTTGTTTTTTAGATTTTATTTATTTATTTGAGAGAGGGACATGAGAGAGAACATGAGAGAGAGCGAGAGCACAAGCAGAGGGAGAAGGGTAGAGGGAGAAGCAGACTCCCTGTCAAGCGGGGAGCCCTAAGTGGGACTCCATCCCAGGACCCCAGGATCATGACCACAGCTGAAGGCAGATGCCCAACCGACTGAGCCACCCAGGCGCCCCGAGGGCATTTCTTAATAGTCATACTGTTTCAGTTTATAAAAGCCCCCTCCCCAAATGTTCTGAAAAAAAAGATGAGATTATGAACTAAATATGCCACAAGATCTCAATAATTTACCTAATTGTGTCATAATTTAATATTAAACTAAACATATTCATTCCATGGTGTTTCTTGTGCTCTGGTGTTTCTTGTGCTCTGTCCTAAAGACATAATAATGAGCAAGATATTAATTGGCATTAATCCATAATCCTTATTTATTTGTACAATAAATGTTTACTGAGTCCTCTATACCATGACCAAAATACGATCTCCAGTGAAATCATATTTTGAACTGTCTCATTTATTGATTCATTTGGTGCGTATCAGTTGGGTGCCTACTAACTTCCTGTCATTGTGCTAAGCACAGGAGATACAATGGTGAAAAGATACAGTTCCTGAGCTCAAGGAGCTTGTGATCTATTTACAAAGGCAAGCAAATAAATGGGAAATTAAGTATAATATAATGTATGTTATTGTACTATCAGGTGCTGTGGGAGTACATAAGAAGGGCACCCAGAGACGGTTCTTTAAGCTAAGACCTAAGGGACCTAGATGTAATGTAGGAAAAGAGGGTGTAAAAGAGCATTTAGGAAAAAAGGATCACCTTTCTGAATTTGTGATTGAACCATAAAAAGCAGTGAAAATCCAGTAATTCATCTCTTTAATGATTATTCATTCATTTACCAAATTTATTGAAAAGCCTAACACTTTATTTTTTTCTTAGTTTATCATCACTCACATGGAATGTTGCATACATTTGGTCACATGAATGAATGAATGAATGAATGAATGAAGGTTAGCACATGTTGTACTGAATGCCTGTTGACGATCTCTAGTAATACCCTTTTTTTCTTGATAAAGTATTAATAAACAATAAAGAACTTGAATCCACAAATCAATACCATGGTTCTATAAACCTTTGAGGCTGACTCACAAAATCTTGTTTAAGTCTCATTCAGGATAATGAGAGTGGGTAAGAGCTATGCTCTAGAATTGTGCAGTCCACTATGGAAGCTACTAGACACACGAGGCTATTTAAATTTAAATTTATATGAACTGAAATTGAAGTAAAAATTCAGTTATTCAGTCACACCTTTTTAGTGCTTAATAGCCACATTTTAAGTGCTTAATAGGTGTATGCTACCATGTTGAACACTGCAGAAGATTTCCATCATTGTAAAAGGTTCTATTAGACAGTCCTACTCTAGAATCTTGATTACAAGTTTCGCTAAATCATTGATAATTATCACAGTGCTGAAGAAATTGTAGGTGCTCAATAAATAGTTATTGATATTTTTAAATTTAGCCTTATTCTTTTTTATAGCAAAGTTTCACTTGTAAAAGCAGAAACCAATATGTACATAAATCATTTAACATATCTTATGTAGCAATCAAGGTAAAACACTTGATTAATGGGCTGACAGTCTCTTTCCTGAATCTGGAATACCAGAAAATTTCCCAGCTGTTGGTGTAGCATGGCCACTTAGGCAAGACTGACAAAGTACTCTCAAAGGTGACAAATCTCAATTCCATGACCCCTCATGTTGCATTGCCCACTTTCTGGCGGAGGTGCTAATGAGTAGTTATCACTGCCAAGAGTGCACAAAGCAAAAGGGAGAAGGAGATGCCAAGGACTCGCAGAATCTACTTTGAATAATGAAGAATTAAGTATCGTTCATCTTAAACTGATTTTCCAGACACAGTGCCAAGAAGCAAACAAGTAACTTTATAGACTTGATATCAGAGTCTAAAAGGGTTTCAGAGGAGACATTTGGCACCTGCATCTGAGTTTAACTCACTTCCTGAATAGCCCCTCCCCACCCATTAGGATATGTATAATTAGTTTAAATGTGTTCACTACACTGGTTTATGTGCTTAAAGCTGCACCGGCTCAACAATATCCAAATGGTCATAAGGTGAAAAAGTAGAGTTTGAAGATCAATGATCATTAAGCATTCGTTAATCTGTTTGCTTATTTATTGACCTCATTCCAAAAAGAATTAAAAATCATCAAGAGCAGCCGATGGGAGAGATCTAACATACCTAGTTTTTTGTGACACAAGACACATTTTGTAAATCATGTTAAGTTTGCTAAGGATGTTTGGACCAGTCTTTTGTTTCTTTGTTTTCTTAGTGTCAGCAACTGTAACTGTAGCTGAAAGTGGCTAGATACGGTTGGCAAATGTGACAGTGCAAATATTCTGTAAATGACATTGAAAACAAAAGCAGAAATGGAATTTCTGACTGCCCTCAATCTGGAAACATGGTGCATTTAGACTGCGGTTCCAAGGAAATATTAAAATACCAGGCCGGCAAAGTGAACTTAAAATTTTAAATACAAATAACCAATGAATATTCAGGAAAATAGTAAGCCTCATTATTCATCAAAGAACAAAATTTAACCAACAAGAAATGAGCTGGTGTATTTACCTCTCAGATTAGCAAAATCTTTCATAAAATGAGAAAGCCTAATACTGGTGCAGATGTAATGAAAAGTCTCACACATTGGCGATTGAGAGTATAAATTAGTCCAACTCTTTAGAAAAACAGTTTATCGGTATGTATCAAAAGTCTTCAGTTATGCCCTTTGACATGTTAATCTCACCCCTCAAAATATCATAAACAGGGCGCCTGGGTGGCTCAGTTGGTTAAGCGACCACCTTCAGCTCAGGTCAAGATCCCAGAGTCCCCCCTGCTCTGTGGGGAACCTGCTTCTCCCTCTCCCTCTGCCTGTTGCTCTCCCTGCTTGTGCTCTCTCTCTCTCTCTCTCTCTCGGTCAAATAAATAAATAAAATCTTTAAAAAATATATCATGAACAGTTTGTGAAACTGGGAAAGTCATACTGAAGAAGATATACTTAGAAGTGTTTATGCCCAAATTTGAACAACCTAAAACTGAGGAATGATTAAGTAAGTCATACAGAATACAGAGTTATTAAAAATATGTTAACCTGAAGTTTTAATAACTTGGAAAAATGTTGATATTTAGGGGAAAAATATTACATAATCATATATTTGATTGGGCATGAGCTCAATGATAAAAAGAATATATAAGAAATACTCAAAATTATTTAACAACTATCCTTTCTGAATAAGATTTTATTCTAATTATGTTTCTGAAATTCTACAGAAAACAGGTATAAATGTTACATTTGTCAAAATTAGATAGTAATTCTGACTGATCCATAATGCAAAATGTTGATTAAGTTATATTACATATAATTTCACTAAATTAGATGTATAAACAGGATTGAATTGGAGCAAACTTTAGTGGAAGAGAGGTAATAGTTATAGGTCATATCAGAAAAGTTATTAAGGTACAGACAGATGTTGATGACATCACAACCTAGAAGATAGGAAGTCAACAACCTGGAACTTTAGCCTCCCACTGGTGCAGAGCAATTTTTCTGAGAAATAAAAAGAGCTTCAGGTGTTGTTTACAAAGTATTTTCAAAGTGAAGTGGTTGAAGAGAGCGTGGAATCTGGAACAAGAGGCTACACCAATTACTAATTATATTTAATTTTTTCACAAATTAAAAACTAGTTACATACACGCACACACAGAGAAATACCTACTTTGAATGATTGTTAGGAGGTTTGAAAAAGCTTATGTATGTATCTACCATGCTGCCTGATACAAAATATGTTCAGTAAAAGTAGCTATGAACTTGGTTTCCAAGAGAGTTACAGAAATCACTGGTTGTAGAACAGGAAAATATGCAACAGTCAGGAATCTACAGCAAAGTCCCAAGAATCCCAACACTGTAATGGGGAGTTTGAGGTGAGCAATATTCAGAAATCCAAGCAGATGGGTAACACTAGGGAATTCAGTCAATGAGGGTTATTAGCTAAAATGATGGATTTGAAGTATCTAACAAAGTTTAGCAAATAATAACTACTTTATAAGTATTAAATCTTAAAATCCGAAAATTCTTATAACCAGTAATGATAATTTAAGCTTAAAAAATAATCTATTTTGTCCAAGTGATATGGGTGCTTTCTGAACTACAAAGTTCAGTGGCTCCCCACGTCTTGCTAAGTACAATATAAGCTCTTTCTCCTGGGATTTATGACATTGTACAGTCTGGTCCAATTTGCCTTTCAGTCCTTACTTCCTATAACATCACGCATATACCCTATACTTCAGACACACACACCAAACTGCTTGCTATTTGTATGTTCTTTTGTATGCTTCTTTGATCTTGTTTATGTTTCCTCTGCTCACAATTTGTTGAATGAACAACTGAATGAGTGGACAATTATAAAGACTAACCTATAGTATCAAATTATCCAACATTTTGCTTAAGCGTTAAAAAAAAACAGCAGAGAGCTATCTTTGAGTCTCCGCTAATGTTGCACAGATTGATTTTTGATGACTTTTTGTTGTCTGTTCATATGTTTCTTGAAGCAAACATGTGGATTTCAGAACTGACATGATCAATTTGGTTCCTAGCGGCTGCTGCAGCCGACATGGCTTACCACCATATCAGACCTCCCATTGGCTACTCCGTCCCCAAGCCCATATCATCTCTGCTGATGCGAGGGTGGAATGCATGTCCTGAAGTGAGTAATTTTTATTTCCTCTTAGAAAATGTGTTATGGTCAAAACCTGTCCCAAATAGTGTAACTCCAAAGTCTACTTCCAGTGTGTATTTTAAGACTGTCAAGGCAGGAAGACTGATTTGCCTTCTGCTCTGTAGTCTCTAATTGCCTCAAGAAGTCTGAGGATCTCATATTTCTTTGCTGCAGCTCTCTGATTTTGAAATGTTTCTCACAACTGATTAGCAAAAGAGAGACCAGGGTATGACAGATGACTCACAGTCTCATCTCAGCTGCAATTTTATTAACTATGCTTGAACCATACTTAGTCATTTTCCGAAGAAAGAAGCTTGGCACAGATGGATGTGTGTTGGCTTTTCGCCATGAGGACCACTAAAGACAAGTGGTCTTTAGTAGCACCGGCTCAAGCAGGAGTCCGGAGACCTTGTCCTAGTCCTCCCCTAACTCTTTAAGTGGTTATGTGATAAAGTGGTTAAGAGCACAGATGGAGGGATCGATCCTATGGAAGGAATAAGTAAAGTAGGATATGTAAATAGTGAAAAAAAATTTAAATATGATCATAGATCTAAGAATATTAAGGGTTACACTCCTATAATCCCAGAATGAAATCTCAAACCACTTTTCTATGGGAAAGGATTCTTCTTATCTGTGCCAGGCATTTTGATGTCTACTTTGTTCTCAGAGAATGACAAAGGAGGAGATTCCACAACTTCTCTCCTGATAACACGGTTTAGTACAGTGTCTAAGACTCTCCCTGCCAGCATGTTTTGTTTTCATTGAAATCCTTGTGTTTTGATGTCAGCCCACATTGATTCTTCTGCTCTGAGTAGAGGGAACTAGTTCACATTAGTTCACAAAAGTGTAGCTGTTGTTAACTCAGGAAGTACCCCGCCAAAGGAGAAATAGAATAAGCCCCAGGCCAGATTTTGGAAGGAGAAAGCAAAGTCCCCCCTTCTTTTTTCTAACAGCAAAACCCAGACCAAGTCATTACCCAATCCCACAAGTATACATGGAGATTCTTAAGAAGAAAAATAAAGATTATTATGGCATGTGGATTGAGTAATCTCAAAAGAAATAACCTTATGGCATGTGGATTGAGTAATCTCAAAAGAAATAACCTCTTCTCCTGACCATTCCATTTGACAGATTATGTATTTATTGGTGTTGAATCTTCTCTCACTACCAGAAAGCAGGGACTTTTTGTTTTGTTTTGTTTGCTCCTATAACCTCAGCACCTAGAACCATCCCTAGTAGATGTTCAAAAATATTGGTTGAGTAAATGAACAAGTACCACTATTGCTTATCAAAGCCTCCAACCCCCTCATCTGAATTTCAGTGTCCAAAAAAATTTTGTCTTGAAAATTATATGACCTAAAATAGTTTGGGAAAAGTTTTCCTTATTTTTCAATACAAACCTCAGGCATATTTTCTAGGAATAAGTGTGTCAAAAAAGCTAATCTGGAATTTCCTTCTCTCTTTGGTATATATAACATTAAGTGTAACATAAACAGTCGAGGGAATCCCTTTTGCTTTTATTAATGGACAAGATCTTCATGATTATGATTATAAATAAGGGACATACGGAAGTTTTCATTTGGAGATAAAAGCAAGTTATTAGCTACTTCTAAAAGCATTTTGGGGGGCTAGAATGGATGTCACAAATAACAGGTTAGGAAATAAGAGAACCAGATTAGGGCCAAAGGAGGGTACATTTAAAGTTTTAAAAAAATACCAAGAGCCCAAAAATCAAGTGCTTAGTGGAAAAGTTTTATTGCTAGGCAGCAAAGCCAGTCAGACCAAGGCCTGGGCTCTGGAATGCAGGGAGAAGGATGGGGGGAAAGCATAGTAGGAATAAAAGTCTCCGACTAGCCAGCTGTATCTGGGCTTGCCAGACAGGTGGGCCCTGGCTTGGCTGTGCTTTCCATCTCAGCATTATGAAGTTGAGCTGCTGGATGTGACGTGCCTGAGACATCAGCGTAGTGCCCACCCAGTAAGGTCTTCACGGTGTGAGTAGGCTCAGTGGTGAGGAGAAGGGAAACAATGAGCTAGTTTTCATTCTTTCCTTCAACAATCATTTATTGAGTCTCTTCTCTACACAGCCCCAGGAACAAGTGCTGGGGATTCAATGGAGACGTGCTCTCCATGGAACCTCAGTAAGGCCTAGTAGCCAAGTGGAGATTAGTTGAATAAACACATAATTTTATAGTAGCAAGCCAAAATGAGGAAAACAAGATTAGATGAGAATGCATGCTAAAGGAATGGGCAAGTGAGGGACAAAGAGATAGTGTAGGTCAAGAAAGGCTTCCTGGAAGAAGTGACACTTCAGCAAAGATCACAAGCATAAATAGGAGTTTGCTGAATGAAGGGGGGCGGGGCGGTTGGTGAGAGAGAAAAACAGTCCAAGCAAAGAGAAGTGTGCAAATTCACTGAGAGAAAGGACACAAGGAAGAGACTTATTAGTTATGGGAACCCTGTAGCCAGTGAGGAGTTAGATCTCTATACCATCATTAGAAACAAGTTCACCTTTAGATCTGAGACAATAACACCATGCTCTCCTGGTCCTTGCTTCTAGGTTATCAACTTCACTACTCATTCTTTCCTTACATATTTGTCTTTGCCTCACTCCTTGAATTTGAACCACATTATTATCTCCTATGCATGTCTTCTTAGTCAAGACCTACAAAGGTGGAAGAGGGCAGTGAGAACAGCAGCCTATAGGAAATGGAAAATGCTGGTTGGAAAACCGCAAGAGGTGGGAAAAAGTCCTGTTAGATCTTGGAAAGCTTTGGAAACCAGAATAGGGAATTTGGATATGAAGTCCCAGGCAATTATTTTTTTGTCTCTAAAGCAGTGCAGAAATATGATGAAAGTAATTTTTTTGGAAAATTCATCTGAATTTGATATGAAAAGATTTGATAACTTACTCAAAGAATTTTATGTGGTTCCTATAGTGAGACAGGCACTGAATTATCTTCTAGTGTGATTGGGATAGTTGAGCATTGTTTCTTAACGTGTGGGCTGCACATTACATGCTCCAGTTTACCCAGGAATATTTGTTAAAACGAAGATTCTGGGGCCCAATTCTAAAGCTACTGCATCAAAATGTCTGGGATGGAGCCTGGGACTTTGCATTTAACAAGCACCTCAGGTGATTTGTGCCCAGTAAAGGCAGAGAACTAGTAGGCTGAAACGGGAGCCAAAGACACTGAAGTCAGAGCGTCCAGCTGGGCTGCTATTGCATTAATCCAGTTGATTACAACACAAAGACTACAATGGTTACCATGGGGATTCAGGAGCAAGGGTAAACTTTGAGAACTACTTCAAAGGAAACAACATTCTAAGGAGGTGAACGACTGGATTTAGGAGATGGAAAAGAGGAAGTAGCCCAGGAGAGCAGTCATCACCGCCCTCTGAGAATCAGCTAGTGACCAGAGTTCTCCTTAGGCCGTTAGGTATCACAGATATTGTTGGCAGTGAGAGAACAAAGCCAAGCACTCTGCAGTAAGGCGAAGGCGCAAAAAAAAAGCATAGAAAAGGAAGAAAGGAAACATAGCTACCCAGAGATTAAAAAAACTAACCTGGTCTACAAAACTCAGGGAACGGTCAATTAGAATAAAGTTATTGTGCAAGAAGTTGGCAGAGATGCTCTTCTCACCTTAAAGGCGCTTCACCAAATGAAGTGGAATCAGGGGAGGCAGACAGATGGCATAGGAGCTAAGCTCAGGCAGAGAGGCTGAACAAAAATAGAGGGGAGAGGAGTTGGAGTTAAAAGCACGGAAATTTTGAATCCAGGGAGAAAACAGAAAGAAGAGAGGGAATAAGGTTAGGGAGTTTCAAAATAAGAAAGTTACATCATTTGCTGGCAATTCTGAATAGGAAAGAAAACAGATGATAGGCGGGGCATGTAAGCAATATTTACATTGTTCTGTAGGCTTTTAAGCTGTACAATATTGCCAAATGTAGATATAAAGATCCTGTTATATAGAAATATATTAGAAACTATATTAATATATAAAATATGTAAAAATATATTAGATATAGATAGAGGAAGAGAGAATACTACCTTTTTTTCCCACGAGGAAAAGTAAAATATTCTATACCATGAAGGTATGCTTTTGATGTTTTACTGGGATATCAAAAATAAAATTGTTTGAGTATACCTCTATCTTTCCAATAAGTGTGGCTTTGAATAAGAGATGCTTATTCTACTATTGCTTTTAAATGTCATATTTATAAGGACATTTAATTCCTGTGCACAAGGAGGAGTACTCACACCAAACAATAGTGACATGCTAAACTCAAGAGAGCAAACCTTGAAAGCTTACATACTAATAGGTTATTTAGTTTTCAAAATCTTAAGTTAATAATAATTGGCAATAAAGCGTGTTAAAATTCCCTTTGTTCAGGATCCATTGTGTTGATCATGAAGCCCCATTTGTTCTCCTAAAATGATTGAAGCCGAGATCCCCACCTAGTGGACTTAGAGGATTTTACAGGTTTTACAGAAATAGCCTACAACCCTTGGAAATCCTTAATTTTTTCTCTTAGAGAAATAACAGGTTTTAAAATCTCTACTTAAGATCTAGGATAATTGTCAACAGAGCAGTTGCAAATGGTTGAAATATACCAATATGCATATCAACTAGACTACAGTTAACAAACAAAGCTCAATTTTTATTTTCATACCATAATTAAGAAAACAGATCAGGCACAAATATGAATATATAATCATCTTTGTAGAAAGCAATATTGTAATACCACTAATTGAGATGTGTATAGTAATTTCCATAAAATAAACATCAAGGGTAAATCTGTTCAAGTACTTTTTTTCTTATTTAATCTTTCATTTGCTTAAGGCTTTTTTTTTTTTT